GTGTGTGCTGCCTGAGGGGCCCAGTGGAGCTGACAGTCCACCAGAGCTGCAGGCGTGTTTGTCCAGGCAGGAAGTCACTGGGGATCCCAAGCCATCCTCCCCTGGCACACATCCTGACTGCACCTGCAGTGAAGCCATGGGCCCCTGGAAGATGGGAGGAGTGGTTGCTGGGAACCACGTCCCAAACCACCTGGCCAGACTGATTCCTTCCGTATTTCCTGGTTCTGTTTGAGAACTGTCCCTCTCCCCCCTTCCCCCCCTGCCCCAGCTCCTGGAGAGATTCTCCATTATGTCTGGGTTGCTCAGCCTTCTCTCTTAGACACTCATGGCCTCACTATCCAGACATTCCCTGAGCTGGGGGCATTGAGAACTATTGAGACAGCTTCCAGGAGGAAGGGTCCAATGGGGACCAGGCACCTCACAGGCTCTCAGTGACATTTTTGCGAAATCAATAATTTTATGAATGTGCTTCTTTCTGCAATGCTTCTCAGCTGTCCCCCAAAGATGGGAGTGACTAATGAGGAAATTATTCTAGGAGTCTGATGGTGCATCCAAGATTTAGGGCTAAAATGGAAGATCTCCAGATATACAATTCTCTAGGTGGCCAGTGTCCAGGGACACACACTCAGGTACTTCTCGGTTCTAGCATGTACTTCTCAGGCATCCATGGGGACTGAGATTTAGTTAGCTGCTATGTTGCCTGAAGGCTTTTTAGGGGCTGGACTGGAGCAGGTGGTCAAAAGTTTGAGGTCTGTCATTTGCTTTGGTCAATCTAATCAGTCCAAACTGGCATCACAGCCTTTGACAGGTTGGAGCATATAGCTGCCTAGATTTGGTTATGTGATTCACTGTCATTTATAAACTGATTTATTAACCTGGCTCCTGAGAAATAACAGGAGAGTGCCATGATAACGTGGTCTTGGAGGAATCCTGGAGAGATCAGGATAGTGCCAGCCCATAGCAATCTCTCTGTTCTAACAATCTGTGTACTCATTTATGCATCTAGGTGACTATATCATGTAATCTATCATCACTCTGTTACCTGTTCTCATGCCTCTCTGGTCCAGGCAGTACCACAGGACTTCCCTGAGATACAGGCATGAGCCCATCTGTGATATCATAATAGTAAAAGCTATCCCTTTAAGATGCTTACTATTTTCTGGCACTGTTGTAGTATTTAGTATATATTAACAAATCTAATCCTTACAAAAATTTTATAATATATGAACCCAGATTAGATAAATAACATGTCCAAAGTTGATTGAAGCAGGATCAAAGCCAGGCATTGTTGATCAGTCACCCAGCTATATAACATTGCACAAGCTGGAGTAGGCTGAAGTATTTATTCTCCCCAAACTTCAGAGCCTAGCAATGAGGGATAAAAGAGACAAGCCAGGCTCTGCTTCCTGAAAATGAAGGCCAGGTGTGGTAGGGGGAGAACCGGGTAAGGCAGGCATTCTCAAATGTGATCCCTGGACCAGTGGTATCTGCATCACCTCAGAACGTGTTAGACAAGCAGATTCTCCAGCCCCATCCAGAGCTACCAAGACAGAAATTCTTGGAGTACTAATTCTGATATGTGATAAAGCTTGCAACTCACTGGAACAGGGAGTCAGGGGGCTAGGTTCTAAGCCCATCGCTGTCCTGGCCTAGCTAGATGACCATGCACAAGTAATTATATCTGTCTGATCCTGATTTCCAGTCTCTAAAATGAAGGGCTCACTGCAGACTCATTCACTTTTTCTTTCAACAAACATTTCTTGAATACATTCTGAGAACAAAAAGTCACTATGCCTTCTTAATGGAACACAATAATAGCCAGGTGGCTTGGTCATCTATGGTCACCACTTGAAGTTCAATCCTAGTTAATTCTTACTGAGGCAATTTTTAGAAAGACTCTTTACCTCCTCTTTCTCCTAACTCCAATATAGCTCCATGCTGTTGCCAAAGCCACGTTTAAGAGAAGCATGACTCTGATGTTGGTGCTCCTCAGTTAAAACCTTCCAATGACTCCCTGTTGTGTATGTTTTCTGAATGGAATACAGTGAAGGCTCAGCCTGCTTCTGATCCTTGGAAATGGCAGAGGCCTCAGACACAACTCTGCTAGCAGGCCCATAGGATGGTTGGAAGGGAGGGGTTGTGGCCAGCAGAGGCCCTAGATTCTATGAATCCAGTGGCTGGATTTTCTTTCCAGTGGCTTTTCCTTCCAGAAAAGAAAAGAGAGTAAGATTCTTGTGCAACATTTGGCCAAGTTCTGCTTTTCCTTGGGGCTCATGCAACATTTCCCTAGAAAACCTAGCTAAATTTCCTGCCTATATTGAAAAACTTACAAAAAGTTTGGACCAACAGAAAATGGATGTGTTATTCATTATTAATAATGATAATGATAACAACAATAATGTCTACCACTTACAGAGTCTTTACTATGTACTGGGCATTATATATTTTGGTGGCTAAGTCAGTGCCTGGACCAGGAGATCACAGGTACTCAGGTACTGATTGACTGTCAGTGTCTGACTTTGTCTCTGGGCTCACTGAGGCCAGCCTTAGCCTACTAGGCTCTCTCTGGTGTTACTGTGGTCACATATATGTCACATAGATTTATTGCTTGATTGAATTAACTGCTTTGTCTTCAGAGGCAGATTTTTTTCTCTTTGAACCTTCAACATGTCTAAAATTCTGAAAGGTCTTTCTCCCCTTCTTGCCTCCACTCATCCTCCACTTATATTTCAATCTCCTTTTCATCTTCTCCATCTCCTCACTCATTCATTCAAGTTGCTCTCCCATTAAATTAGAGAAGTGGTGGTTCAAAAAAACAGCACAGCTGTGCACCCATCAGCTCCACCCGTGAATGCAAACTGCCCAGGAGCATGCCACACATGCAAATAGACTTGTCTTGACGTGCTAGAGCCTTTCCCGTTTTGCAGTAAACTAAACCTTTGATTAATAAGGAAATGGACTTTGACTTTTTGAAACTCCTGTTTCCGCAGTGTTTGGAAAATCATGAACTACACCTGGTGAAAATCCTGAGTCACTGAGGGCTTCGTGTTTCAGGGAGAGGAAGAGAGGTGGAGGCTCTTTGTTGTATTTTCAGAAGGAAGGATGGTTGACATGAATCACCTCGATCATTGGACAAACTCTCTTCACTTTATTCCTTAGAGCTTGTAGGTCAAGTAGAATAGAGGCCAACAGCATCCCTGATATCTATTATTTTGGTGGCTCTAATCTTTTGGGGGTCTTTTAATGCTACACAGAGAAGCACTGAGGCTGAATGGTCTGAGTCATGGGCATGCAGAGTGGGTGTGAGGTCACAGAGTCCCTGATCACTATTCCTTGTCTAGGGCATGGAGAGGGGAGACTAGCAGAAAAGGATTGTATCTGGATACAGATCATTCATGGTGCCAAGCTCTCTCCTATAAGTGGGAGAAAAACGGTTATGTGCTTAGCTAGACTTCCATGCTACACTTAAGCCGGAGATTATTTTTCCTCTTAATCATGGCTTTCTAGGGGCATTCCAATGGACATGAGTTTAAAGAGGATGAACAGAAAAGGAGATACTGAGAAAAAAGGAATGCCTAGTTTTTGATTGCCTAGGTTAGTGCTTCATGAACCTCAAAGTTATGTCACCTGAATTGTTTATTTTTCTAAATTTTTTACTAAAAATAATCACATCATTGATTATTTAGACCTACTGATTCAGATTTTTTGAGAATAAGGTTCAGGAATACCTATAATAATTATCTTATATAATATAAATAGGAACTACTCTCTAGAAATTCCTGTGGGGCTTTCCATTGATCAAAAAACACCCCAGATTCTTCATACCAGGATTGTGTCTTCCTCACCTCGGGATCGCTAACATCTCAGTCAATTCCCAGCACAGAGCATTTGTAGCTGTATCATGGAATATACTCGTCAAAGGTGAACATCGACTGCGCAGGCTGTGGGGGAAGCTGCTATTGGTGGCATGAAGGTAAAACTATCAAATTAAGACTACCTTTCAGGGTGCGGTGCCAAAGAATGGGAGAGCAAAAAAAGCAAAATTAGAACACCAAGCAACAAAACAAACTTAAAACTCTCTTTGTCTCTTGCCATAGAAGGACCACATGGTGGGTAAATAGCTTAGAGACATTTTCTTTTGCAAAGGCTGTTTTCCAAAACTCCATGGTGACAAGGGCATCAAAAGTTACTATGGCAACTAAGTATTTTTTAACTATTTTCAAGAATTATTTATGGCAGTTTTAGGCCATAGATAATAATTAAAGACACCTGGTCATTGGTTTTCTCATTAGCCAAGTAGGGGCATGGATGATTTCCAGCTGCCTGTGTTAAAGAGAGGTGGTCAGTGGGACGAGACTTTGTTTGTCTAGTATCAGACAGCATTCAAAGGTTGCCATAAAGACAGCTGGGCATCCTCCTGCTGGCCACAGAGGCTAGGCTGGCACACACAGTAAAACCCTAGCTTCTGAACACTGATGCCCATCCAGGCCACTCTGGCCTGAGTCTGTGCAATCTCTATTTCATCAGAATAAATGTGGCTTCCTTTTTAATTGTTCCTGGTCATGACTTCTATGGAAGGTACAATAATGCTGGAAATCCCAACCATTAAGCTCATTCCTAGATTAGGACCTGCCATGCAGCTGTTAGCCATATTCACAGATGGTGGTTGGAACCTGGGGATGATGAGTCATGGTCAGGATCCTGCCACTTCTTTGACATGGGCATTGAGACCTACACTTCTCTTGGAAAAGTACAAACTGACAAAGCTTGAAGGGGTAGGGGCCCTTGTGCATGAATTTTGAGAACAAAAACATGGAAGGGAATTTAGTTAGGTAGTTTCTTAATTGTAATGAAACAATGAAAATTATTGTATGTAGAGGACTCTACAACAGACTATTGCAACAATTTATTATTATTATTATTATTATTATTATTATTATTATTATTATTTTGATTTGGAAAGGGAGGAAACTAAAAGTAGAAGAGTTTAAACAACTTACCCAAGATCACATTGTTAGCAGTGCAGCCAGATTCCAAACCAGGTTCTCTGACTCTAAGTAACCTCTTCACTGTGCCCTGCTGCCTTGTCCAGAGGCAAATTCTGTGGTAGAATGAAATGATATGCATTTGCTGGAGAGATGAGAAATGGGCTTAGCTGACATAGTGTGTGAAGGAAACATGGGAGACTGTGTATAGGCAGCAACAGAGTTTGATACTCTACCAACATCACTGGAGGCCCATTATTGTTCTAGCTGTAAGCATTTGTAAACATCTTATATAATCTCTGTAAAAATTTGATATGATAAAAACAGTGGTTCTTAACTTTGGAATTCTAATGAAGTCTGTGGACCATCTGCCAAGGAAATGTGTATGTGCACACAGGATCCCTGTTTCCCCTTTCTCCTACCCTACCTCTCTGGCCAAGAATCTTTCTCTAGATCCTTGACTTTAAAAATTGCTCTGACTTTCTGAGCCAGAAATAATCTTTATAGTCTAGTGGTTGTTCAACCTGTAGGCTATCAATTTTTCTATGCTCTAGTCTGTCCATATCTGCATTTATGATAAACCATTCATTGAAAGGTCCTATAGATTTTGTTATCTATCCAACATTAAATATTTGGCTAGCTATTGCTAACAGTTTTGGGGTTTGATTACTGCTGTATTCCTAAATCCTAGAACAGAATTTAGCACAACTACATGATATAATCTGTATGTTTTATTTTTTGTGTTTAATATGTTTCTGAAAATTGTGTGAAAAATGTTTAGAAATTAATTGCATAAATGCAATAGAACAACCTGTTCTTACAGGGGACTTATCTATAATTTCTCCATTATATACATCACTATAGATTTTTGGTATATAAATTTTTCCAAGCTAGAAAGTTTTCTTCTAGTCCTCTAATTTTCTGAGGGTTATTTTTTAAAATTACAGATAGATGTTGGACTTTACCAAGTGTTTAGACATTGCTTGAGGTAATTTCATAATTTTTCTCCTACAATTTAATGCAGTGAATTGATAAAACTTCAAAGAATAAACCATACTTTTATTTTTGGGTTAAATCTTACTTTATTGTAATGTATTGTCATTGTTATTATTATTATTATTATTATTATATCATCAGGTATTATTTTTTAATATACCATTGAATTCAGCAAACTAATATATTCTTTAGGATTTTTGAATCTATGTTCACAAATTAGATGGGCCTAAATTTTTTTTCTTGTATTGACCTTACCTAGTTTTGAAATCAAGAATTATGTAACTATATCTAAGAGTCAACATATTGTTAGATCTTTTTAAAAATTTAAATTCAATCCAGGAATCTGTATCTCTTAATTAGTAAACTTAAACTTTTTATATTTATTATAGTTACTGTACTATTAAAACTTATCCAGTTACCTCATTTCTATTTTCTATTCACTATATATATTTTTTTACTACACCTTTCCTGTTTCTCCATAAAAAAATCCATTTTCTTTAGCTGGTTTAAACATTAAACATTCTATTTCAGTTCTTATTCTAAGAACAAAGTGGCAGTTGCCCCCATCTCATCTTACATTCATTTTTCCCTATTGAGTTCTTAAATTTATCAACAGATACTTTTTCCCTTTATAAAACAAAAACATCACTATATTTTAATTTATTTTTTTTATTTCTTTGGGGGCCACACATCACATGTATGCGCAAATAAAATAAAATAAAATAAAATATGAATGGTATCCCTTGGATTGTGCAATCAATAATGATATTTTCTATACATTTTATAATTGGTTCTTATAGATATATTTTCTCTTTTTTCAGCTTTAAGAAAATTTCTATACGAAACTTTATCCAGGTATTTGACCACCTTTTGCTCCCACATTTTTGTGAAATCCTCCCAGACTGCCTTTTTTACTTGAGTGCTTCCTCCAAGTCTGCTGTGAGACAGTGTATGGCCAAGAACACTTTTATCATGTTATAATATTTAAGTGATATTTTGGCTTTACTTAAATTATAGGTTCAATGTTCTTTACTTCAATACTTAAAAAATATCTCATTGTCTGTTTGCACCAACTTTTGCTATTAAGAAGTATATTATCAATATGGTTCTATTCCTCAGCTATTAATAGACTATTTTTCTCAGTAAAGCTTTAGAATTTCCTTTTTATTAGTTGTTATTAAATTGCATTATAATGTTTCCAGGTGTTTTTTCTTTACCTCTATTGTTTGACTGCTCATGAGCAGTTTTAATCTTACATATTTCATATTTTAAAAAATTAGGTATTTATCTTCATCATATCTTCAAGACAAGGACAAGACAAAATTACCACTATCACCATTTTAGGTGACTGGGCAAAACTGTAAGGAAAAGAAAGAAATAGAGATGTAAGATTGGAAGGGAAAAAATAAAACTGCCATTGTTTTCTGCACAGATGATCATCTACCTAGAAAGACCATTATAACAAACAGACACACTACTAGAACTAATAAGAAAGTTCAACAAGCTTTCCAAAAATAAGATAAACTCAAATATTAGAAATGTTCTATGCTAACAATAACCAACTAGAAAATACAATAAAAATTGAGGTGCTATTTACAATGTCAAAAGAAAATATAAAGTAAATAAGACTTAATTTATCTAAGAATATACTAGACTTCCATGGAGAAAAATTTAAAACCCATAATAGAGAAATAGAATATCATCTCAATAGATGGAGAGCTATCCCATGTTCAGATGGGCCAAATTACTCTTATGATGATATCAACCCTCCTTAAAGCAATCAATAAGTTAAATAAAAACCAATCAAAGTTTCAGTTGGGTATTTTTGAGGGACCTGATAAATTTATTCTAAGATTTTAAGATGCACTGTAATAAATAATAATGAAACCTCTAAGGGTTTAGTACAAGAACAGACAATGAGACCAATGAAATAAAATAGGGTTCAAAGGCAGGCCTATATATATAGCATATGTATATCTATTAAAAAAAGACAGCATGAGTCAAGTTAACAGATGACAGATTAGAAGAAGAAATTTGCATTGAGTAAAACTGATACTATGTAGAATTTTACATGTAGACTATACAAAAATTTCTGCTGACCAATAAGAAAAACACAGCAAGCCCAGTAGAGAAATTGGCAAAGGAATGAACAGGAATTTTGGAAAAGAGAAAATCCAGAAGGTTAGTAAGCATATGAAGAGATGCTCAAATTTATTACTACTAGTAATGTAAAATAAAACCACCGTGAACTATTACTATATCTATTAGGTTGGCAAAAATTAGAAAGCTGAATGATGAACAGTCTGTTGGTGAGGGAAGCCTCATGAACTGCTGCCAGGAGCCTGGAGAGCAACCTGGTTGTATTTAGCCAACTCAAATATATACCTCTGTTCATATAACCCCAAGAAATTTTCACATGCCTCTGTACAAGGATACATATCAGAATGTTTAGATGCTTGTTTTGTGAAGGGAGAGTTGGAAATAATCTGGTTAAGTAAAAGGCAGTGCTTCCCTTCCACAAAATACTTTCAAGCCTTCCATATCTTGGTGATTGTAAATAACATTGTAATGAATATAGTGATGCTTATGCGGCCTATGTGTCCATCAATAGATGAGTGGTTAAAACAACTATGGGACATTTACACAATGGAATGCTACTTGGCCATAAAAAAGAAGAAAATTTTGCCCTTTGCAAGAGTATTGATGGACCTAGAGAACCTTATGCTAAGTGAAATAAGTCAGTCAGAGAAAGATAAATACCATATGATTTCACTCATATGTGGAATCTAATGAACAAACTGAACTAACAAAGAAAATGGGGACAAACTCATAGGTGGAGAGCAGAATGACAGCTAGGGGGTGGAGAGATTGAGCAAAATTGAGGGAAAAGGACTCATGGACATGGACAACAGTGAGGTGATTGCTGGGGTGAGGACATGTAAGGGGACTAAAAGGTAGTGTGAAAAAATACTTTCAAGCCTTTAGAAGTAACAGATGAAATGTATACATAACAATGCGGATGGATTTTACAACACAGTGAAGAGATAAACAGTATGAGCTCTCTCATACTATACCATTTACAACAATTAAAAATCCATGTGTGCAAAACGATACACATTTTACTAGAACAGGCCACAGATGTGTTTTATTTACAAAGAAAGGATCAACATCCACCAGATGAGAACAGTTGCTTTAATTGGAACTAGGTGACTGGTAGGGGTGAGTGGAGACAGGAAAAAGAGTATGCATGGGAGGTAGGGAGGAAAGTGAATGAATGAATACATGACGAATGAACAAAAGAATAAATGAATAAATAGGTAAGAGAGGGACTATTTTTTGACCAATGGTGATAAAGTGCCATGAATAAAGTGTCAATACCCAAATGAAAAGGGAAAAATAAGGACTAATACAGCTGATAACACATAATGGGTACTTAGTAAACATTTGTAGAGTGAAGGAAGAAAAAAAGTCTGTGGTGAATCCTTTTTGAAAAGCTAAGAGTTCTTTTTGGAACATGGATCAGTGCTCTTTACTGAATTATTTTAGGAGCTTTAATTTTGGTACATCCAATGTTTTAAAAATGCGAGCACTACTGTATTTGGAGACATCTGTATGGCATTAACGGAGTCCCTTTTTCTCTGTTTCTTGAGATATTGCAGAAACATGCACACCTTGTCCTCTTTTGAACTATGCTATGTAGTTAGACTTTTGATTCTGAGTCACAGAAAATGTTTTTTCAGAAAATATTTGCCATTTGATCAAGTCTTTTCCCCCAAATGTCTGTCCATGTGGTCATTGAGATCCAGGGTCTTTGTTGGAAGCACTGAGCTGAAATCTGCTTCCTGAACTTTGAGGTTGTCAGAAGTGGCAGGGTTTATAGATGGCCGTCATCATGGTGGACTTGCCAACTGACTTTTTTTCTCCCCCACTCTACAAGATTTGATTTGTCAGAGCACCACTGGGTTTGTTCTCTTCCTCCCATTTTTCCAGAAAACAAGGATTTATCCCAGGGGCTATAAACTCCTATTGATCTTCTCCAGGTTTAAACAAAATAATATATTTTATTAATTATGCCATTATAGTTGTCCCATTTCACCCCTTCATTCCCCTCCACCCTGCACACCCCCTCCCACCCACATTCCCCCCATTTAGTTCATGTTAATGTATCATAAATTCTTTAGCTTCTACATTTCCCACACTACTCTTGCCCTCCTCCTGTCTATTTTCTACCTACCGTCTATGTTACTTATTCTCTGTACCTTCTCCCCCTCTCTCCTCCTCCCACTCCACTGTTGCTAACCCTCCATGTGATCTCCATTTCTGTGGCTCCATTCCTGTTATAGCTGTCTTCTTAGTTTGCTTTTGTTTTAGGTGTGGTTGTTAATAACTGAGTTTGCTGTCCTTTCCTGTTCATATTTTTTTATCTTCTTTTTCTTAGATAAGTTCCTTTAATGTTCCATATAAAAGAGCTTGGTGATGATGAACTCCTTGAACTCGACCTTATCTGAGAAGCACTTTATTTGCCCTTCTAAATGAAAGCTTTGTTGAATAGAGCAATCTTGGATGTAGGTCTTTGCATTTCATGACTTGGAATACTTCTTTACAGCCCCTTCTGGCTGGCAAGGTCTCTTTTGAGAAATCAGCTGACAGTCTGATGGGAACTCATTTGTAGGTGACTGTCCCCTTATCTCTTGCTGATTCTAGGATTCTGTCCTTCATTTCAATCTTGGCTAATGTAATTATGGTGTGCCTTGGTGTGTTCCTCCTTGGGTCCAACTTCTTTGGGACTCTCAGAGCTTCCTGGATTTCCTGGAAGTCTATTGCCTTTGCTAGATTGGAGAAGTTCTCCTTTATTATTTGTTCAAATAAGTTTTCCACTTGTTGCTCTTTTTCTTCCCCTTCTGATACCCCTATAATTCAGATGTTGGAACATTGAAAGATGTCCTGGAGGTTCCTAAGCTAGTCCTCATTTTTTTGAATTCTTGTTTCTTTATTCTTTTCTGTTTGGTTGTTTCTTTCTTCCTTGTGGTCCAATCCCTTGATTTGAGCCTCAGTTTTCTTCCCATCACTGTTGGTTCCCTGTGCATTTTCCTTAATTTCACTTAGTGTAGCCTTCATTTGTTCCTCTAATTTGCGACCAAAATCAGCAAGTTCTGTGAGCATCCTGATCACCAGTGTTTTGAACTAGTCATCTGATAGGTTGGCTATCTCTTGGTCGCATAAAAGTATTGGCCCTGGGGCTTTGATTTGTTCTTGCATTTGGGCAATAATGTTTTGGTTTGTTCACACCTGTTATGCAGTGAGGGGCAGAGCCTTAGGTGTTCACCAGGGTAGGGCAACCCAGTTGTTGCTGGGTTGTGATGTTGTATGTGGTGGTGGAGTCAGAGAGGGAACAAGGGTGCTTGCTGTGCCCATATTTCAGTCCCTTCTGCCTCTTCCCACAAGCAAATTGGGCCCTTCTGGCTCTGGTTCCTGGGTGGGTGGGCTTGTATACATTCTAGGACCCTGTGGGTCTTTCCAACAAACTCTCCTGTGAGGCTGGGAGTCTCTCTCAACACCTCAGCCTCCACAAGTGTTTTCAATCAGTGCTTTTAGGCTTTATTTCCCATCGCTGGGGCCTTGCGTTGCATGGTCTATCTTGCTGCCTGTTTTTCCCTGGTTTATCTGAGTGTGAATGTGTGACCGCATCAGCCAGTGGCCTTGCACAACTTACTGGGTCTGCTTGTTCCCTCCCCATGCCCAGGGTCTGCTAGCCCTGGGTCACCTGCATGCCTGGTTCTCCCAGCCACTGCTTTTTCCTTCTGCAACCCCTCTCCACAGGCTGCCGACTCCGCCCCTCTTATCTGTCTGTATGAATGGTGGTTGGACTTCCACGCAGTTCAATTTTCTGTCTGTTCTGGTTGTGTTTTTGTTTCTAAATCTTTGTTGTCCTTAATTTTGGTTGTGTGAGGAGACATAGTGTTTCCACCTATGCCTCCATCTTGGCCCTGCTCCAGGTTTTAATATCAGTGATCCTATATTACCAGTAATAAACACGGCTGACATTCAGCATTCACTGATTTCAACTTAATAAATATCGATTAGTGTAGTTATTTAAAGGTCTGGCTCTAGTCGTATAACTTTATAAAACTTCTTCACGTTATAAACAAGAAATCTGAGACTCAGAAGAGTTACCTGGCTTGGTTAAGGGGCCACAGCCAGTGAGTGGGAGAGCCTTGATGGGGACTAACATCTCTTATGACTGAGCCAGGTCTGAAGGAAATGTCTGTTTCCAGTGGAACCTTCTCAGTGTGGCACTGGGCCTGATGAGAAGGCCTACCTGCCAGCCTGCTGTCAGCATGGGGCCCTCCATGTCCTGAAGTCCAGAGGCTTTAGGGTGAGGGCTCAGAACTTTGCCAGGAGATAGACTTCTCTGTTTTTGAGTGAGTCATATATGTGGTCAGCATTTCTCAAGACCTGCCCCCAAACCAACCCAGTAGCAACAGTAATTTATTAAATCTATTACTTCATTAAACGAACATTTATTGAGGGACACATATGCTCCATGTCCTGTGTGACGCACTGGGGAGACAGGTGAGACCTCCTTGAGGAACATAGAGAGTCATGTATCAGTTTGCTGTCAAATAATGAACAGAGTGCTCCAAGAGCTAAGAAAAGAGGGACTAATCTTTTCCGGGCCAGGTGGTTTGGTGGGCCAGAACATTTTTCACCAAAAAAGTTGCTATTTGAGCTAGATCTTGAAAAATGAAGAGGTGACTTTCAGGTGAGGAACCTGGGGGATTAAGGAACCTGGCAAGAGAGGATAGCAAGGTCAAGGGTGGGGAATTGCCTGGCGGGGTACGCAGAGTGAAGCTTAGAAGTCACTGGGGACCAGTGGCAGGGATGGCAGGGTATGCAGAGTGAAGCTTAGAAGTCATTGGGGACCAGTGGCAGGGATGAGGGGTGATGGTGTCAGAAGATGGGGTTGGAAAGATAGACAAGAGCTAGATTGTGAGGGGCCCTATGTGTCTCCAGCTGTGCGGGTGAAGGCAGTAGGTGAAAGCTTTTTAAACCAGAGAATGGCATTATTCAATCTAGGTTGTATAAGATGGCTCTGAAGCAGCTGTGGGATGGAGCGGCAAGGCCTGCCCTAGGGGGTTCTCTCCAGGTGGTCTTGATCCCAAACTATGGGTCACTGGGGCCCGAGCATGTGGAATTCACATACACAGTGGCAGAAAGCTTCCAAACTGGGAAGAAGCCCATAGCCTAACACCCTAAACACTAACCGATGATGAACCCCATTACTTTCCCTTGAGAAGCTTCATGCTAATGGGTGAGCACTGGGAGAGAGAACCTGTTCATATGTGCCTGCAAGTTCCTTCTGAGTAACCAGCTCCAGTTAAAGAGCATGGGTATCTTATCCTTACTCTCTTGAGTTGGCCTTTCTCCGTGGGCAGATGGATGGTCAGAAGCAGTGTCCCCCATATTTAAGCATGATTAAACCTTGCCGTTTGGGTGGTGGCTGGGGGCAAGGGGAGGGGTTATTGTGTTTTAAAATGGAATAAACCGAAAAGCAGTATTTAAAAAAATGAGGAGGTTGCTTAGTGAGGCTTGAAGAGACTACAGGTGTTTCCTCCTGCAAATGAGAACCAGTGACCCCTGGGAATAACATTTCCCGTTGAGCAAGGCCCATGGCGGACTGAGTCCTGCTGACATCCTGGTGGTGCAGAACCTGAACTGGGACTACAGAAAACCCGGTTTTCCACGGGGCCTTATGGGCCCATCATTTGTGTGGAGAGGTAATAGAATTGACGCATATGCTCACACAGTTCCCACTCAGATACACTTTCACACTCACCCTACATCACATCACACTCTGTGGCCACGTCTGAAGGACCACGGCTTTGTGTGCTGTGTTGTTGTTCAGATCCAGCTGACTGGCTCCAGGAGTGAAGTGGTCTGTAGCTGCTGGGCCTCTGAGGGTGCGCATGCTGGGTGATAGGCAGCCTGCTGAAGACCAAGTGCACGGGTGTCTGAGGTGGGAGGATGTGATGACGCTGTGCTCCTGCGCAGCGGGAACTTGGGCCTTTAAAAAGCTGAGGAAACTGCCTCTGAGCAAGCAGTGGCTACACTGGAGGCAAGCACACCCAGGTCTCACATTAAAGAAGCCAAACTGTCTGCTTCAAAGAAAAAAGGCAACATCCTGTCACAGGCCATGCTCTGGCAAAAATGTAAGTGGTTCGGCTGTGGCTGTCAGAGCCGTATCAGCATGGGTAGGGGCTGGGGGCTCACCAGTGAGCTGTCATTGAAGAGGTGGTGGTGGTGGTGAAGGGGTCCACGGGAGTCTGTGTTCCCAGGCAGGAAATCAGGGAGGAGTGAGGTGGGCGAGACACAGCCTGGTAGAGAAACCAGCCTGTCAGAGGTGATGCTGATTTTCCAGGTTGGAGGGGAATGAACTACTGTTCCAAGGTGGGACAGCTCGTTGTAACTTTGCTGCTGTGCATGAATCACTGTGGTGAAGAAAGGGCAATTTATGATTCACAAACAACAGCCAAATGTGATATTGGTTTGGGGTTCGGAGGGGAAAACCATGCAGTTCTTTACTTGACTTTATTTTATAAACAGCTACTTTTCAGCCTGTGGTTCAATTCCATGGGCCTATTTCTCTTTGAGTTACTGAGCTTGCTTTCTTTTCTTTTCTTTCTTTCTTTCTTTCTTTCTTTCTTTCTTTCTTTCTTTCTTTCTTTCTTTCTTTCTTTCTTTCTTTCTTTCTTTCTTTCTTTTTTTCTCTCTCTCTTTCTTCTTTTTTTAATTCTCACCCCAAGGAAATGGTCATTGATTTTAGACAGAGGGAGGAGAAGAGAGGGAGAGATGGAAAGAAACATCAATGTGAGAGAGAAATAGGTATCTGTTGCCTCTTGTACATACCCTGATCGGGGACCAAACTGAAACTTAAGCATGTGCCCTGATAGGGGATGGAGCTGCAACGTTTTGATTTATGGGATGATGTTCCAACCAACTGAGCCACACTGGCCAGGGCTGAGTTACTGAGCTTTCTGCCTGTCAAAGATGTGATTTGCTTCAGATGAGACAATTTGAAAAGCTGGCTTTGTCAAGCATGTCTTTACCCGCTTCACTGTCTTGCCTCTTGTCAATCTTCTCATTTTGTGGCAAGACTTGTGTGTACCAGTGAAAAAGGGCAGCAGGTTTATCTTGAATCTTCATGTTTATTCCTGGAGTTGGATGGAACAACTGAGAACTTTATTTTCCATTATATGGAACTGAGCAGAGACTTGTGTTATTAATAACTGAAATCATACAGAGATTATCTACAACATTCCTTTCTTGAAATAACAAAGTCAACTCAATGGCTTTATGATTGTTGAAGCTTATTGGGACTCAGTTCTGTACTTCCTCAAGAAAGAAATATTACCAAAAAATTGCTCTATTGGTTTTTTAAAGGTGCTTAGGTCTTTAAAATGACCTTTAATGAGTTCAGGTATGCCCTACCTCAAGCAAACTTAATATGAGAAAATTTAGATTTACAGAAAAAGATAAATTAGGGAGTATATTTATTTTACAAAAAGATATTATATTGGAGCCCTTAAAGTTCTGAAAATATACTTTCATTGATTAAAACATAAGTTACGGTCACTTTATCACCAATTCATTGTTTCATTATTTCTTGTGTAAACTCTCTGGAATTGAGCTGGTTAATGTGTACTGTGAAGAGTGACTTCAAAATTTCTCAGAGTGTGAAGTCACATCATATCGGCAAGATATGATTTTTAAGAAATAAAAAAATGAATTATAATTTGGATCTGAGAATTGTGGAATCCTTCCAAGATAATTGGGGATATTCTGGTGTGGGTGGTGTGCAGCTGCCGCCTGAAGGAGCATCGAGCAGGACCCTAGTCTTCGGGGACAATGGCACCCAGCCCTGCGGGAGTGCCGTGTGGCAGAGGGCAGGTGGGCGTCATCTTTGCTGGGAGCTGCTATGTGTCCCTATGCCGTTACACTTAGCACTGAATCAGTGGGTTTTATGTGAGCCCCTGGAGGGACTTCTGCTTTGGTTTCTATCAGAGCAAGTCACTCTCCTTTGCTCTTAATTTTTAGGTCTCTCACACGTAATATGGGGTAAAATAAAACCTACTCTGCAGTGCTGTCCTCAGTAAGCGGAGATACCACCGAAATGATGTTGATGCTCTGGTTGTGCTTCAGTGTCTGAGACAGGCATTGCTTCCCCGTGTTCATATTCTCCCCTCTTGGTTACACACTACATTTTTCTTCTTTAATTCTGCCTCAGAGACTAGAAATTTTATAAAAGGGGATGCTGGAGGAATGTTCCCTGCTCATACCCTGGAAGTCAAATCAGGGGCCACAAAACTCCATCCTTAGGAAGACTGCACTGAAAGTTTGTCAGTGGAATAACTGTGTGAACCTTCTCGGTGTTAGATGCACACAATTAAAATGCACCTTAGCTGTCCTTGGGCACCTTAAAAAAACTTAGGAAGATCCCTGGGCACTGGACCCCTCCTCTTACCCCGAATCCAAGTAAGGCCCTTGTTTAGGGTACCAAGGGCAACAAGGGCACCTGGGTGACTAAACCCTGTGTGAAAACCAGTAAAAACAGGGCAACATTTGTCAGCCCACTTAGAATCACCTGATGGAAGGGCAGGGTTTGAAATCAGACACCAAGAGTGCTGAAAGGGCACTTTCTTTTTTCAGAAAACACCCTCAAGGCATGAGCTGAAATGACTGTACTATGAGGTTCTGGAAAGGGTTAAAAAAACATTCACTTTGTAATTGTTGCCTCCTCCCCACCTGACCCATGACCCTCATTTGTGGACTAAATGTGAACATGGGCTTTTGGTTCAGATCAGCTCAGAACTGCTGGCACACAGAAGTGGAAATCTTCGAGCCCCATCCATGGGCCTGAGATTTGCTTGGCTGATCAATTAGTTAAAAAAGTCACTCTACTTGCAATTCTCCCCCTGGCTTCTGCATTTGGTCCTGCAGGTCTCTCTTGGATGTGAAGCGTAACATCCACCCCAGCAAGAAGCCCTTGTTAAGGCCTTCTACAGACAGTGCAGCAGAGACAGCAGGAGTGATGCACAGGGACGAGTCTGGGTTTGAAACTTGGCTCTGCAACTGAATTATTTAACCTTATACTCTTCAAAACCTAGAAAATGGGGGGGAGTGTCTAATCCCCACCTTACAAGTTTTCTGTCAGAGCTAAATTAGAGAATGTAGAATGTGTCGTCAATCTCCTGATAAGTAATAACAGTAATGAGAGAGCCCCCATTCTCCTGGACACCTCCCATGGGCCTGCCTTGAGTGATCAGGGTTATGACAAATTCCCTCATGTCTATTGTTTTCCACACTTTGATGAGAATAGTTAAAAAGTCACACTCAGAATATTCTTGAATGATAGGCTCTTACAAACTGTTTTCCAAGGGCCTGTCTAAACCAGGGTGGGCATGCAATGGCCGGGGTGCCAAATCAGTCTTGACATCTGGTTTTGTAAATTCAGTTTTACAGGAGCACAGACACGTCTTATCAGTTACATATTGTCTGGGGCTGTTTTTAAGACAGGAGAGAAGTTGCCACAGAGACCCTATGGCCTGCAAAGTCTAAAATATTTACTATTGGCTCTTGACAGGAACAGTTTGCAGACCTGGGGTCTACACTGATGTGGGTAGTTGCTTTGGTATTCATTTCCTTAGGGCACTCAGCGTCCCGGGGTTGCACAATGCCAGTGCCAGGGCAGGTAAAGCTTGTAGTCAATTGAGTAAATGATTTGCACCACACCTAAATCAGATTTGGTTGACTTCCTCTTTAAAATTAATGAAATTGTATATAATGGACTCAATCCCACCCATTAGAAAATGAAGGAACTACTGTTTCTTCTTGTTGTTACCTGTGTTAGGGGAAAGTCTACGTGATGATGAAAGGGAGGCCTGACTGATTTTCTCTGAATTGGCTGGTTGTCTTGATGTCATACTCTGAGCCTTGGCATTTCATTGGTGTAGTTCCCAAGGAGGCACCTTAGGAACAGGGAATAGTTATTACCAAATTACACATGTATGGATGTGCCTCTGCTTTCAGACGGCTTGCACAGGGCAGAGGTTCACCAGGCAGATACAGTATAGTCTCAAAATTCTCATCGACACGGACCTCTGGATTTACTCCAGGGTTCCATGAAGTGGCCAAATAATTTGAGGCAGATAAAAATGCAGTTAAAGATAAGGAAAACCTGTCATATGTGTACAGTTTTGGAAACTCTATCTCCTGCATAAATTCAGGCAAACTTACCAAAAGAAGTAATTTAGGTTTGTGGAGTGCCGCTTAATATTTCTATTCTGTTACCACATTTGCCTACTCAAGAAGCCTAGTAAGCACCTTTATTTCTTACCAAGTATATTTATTGATTCAGTGGTTTTCGTTGATAAGGAAAAGTAGGATCTGGAAGACACACAGGGATTCCCAGGCACAGAAAGAGGTGAAACAAGTGACGTGCATTTACTAAGCACACAGATTATTGGTAAAGGAGCAGGTGATTTTCAAGGTGGGCACTTCACTTCCTGCTCCCTATATTTACCAAAGAAAAATGCCATCTTTGCCTCCTGCTACACCCAGAAAGTTTCCGAGTCACAGATTTTGAAATCTCTCAAATCTCTTAAGTTCAAAGCTGCAAATCTGCTTTATTGTGAAGAACAAAAAGAACCAAGGTCCTCTACAACTGTTAGCTAAATATCTGAACATTTAATTCACATCATTAGAAGTCCTGTGAAGTGTTGCTTTTAAACTTTTTCAAAGTAAAGGTATTAGGTTTTATTTTTTTCCCCTCTGACTTATATCTAAAGTGTATGTTTCCATAAAATAAAGATGTCCATCAATTTTTCACTTTGAGCCAGCCAAACCAAAATTGGCCAATTGATGATGA